CTATTAAAGTTATATTCTTTGTAAATTGATGAAAAAGCTTACTAAAAAAAAATAAAGTAACATGGATTTCATTTGGATCACTATAAAATTGAGAATGCTATAATTGAAAAAATATTAAAACTACAAATTTTTGAAAGGTTAATCAATTGAAAAAGAAATAATTAATGTTTCTAGTGTTTGAATAATGTTGTACATAGTTTTCATAAGATAGACAATTCAAGAATAAAATTGATGAAAAATTTTCTTTTAATTTAATCATTTTTAAATTAGAGTTTAATTAAATTTAATCTTCTAGATTTATCTATTATTGTAAAAGTTTCTGAAGTATTAAGCATAATTTACAATCTGCATATCAATCTTTTGATGAGGAATGTTTCATCATTGAATTCTCTTTATAAAATTAACATGAGTAGTTTTATTTGTACTTTGCTACATTTTACTCAAAGCCAGTTTATTTATTAGAGTTTCTGTATTTATTATTATAATGATGCCTCAAAATCAAAAGGCAGAGCACTATTTGAAGAGTACTGATTAAATTATACTAAAGACCAACCAACGTGTTACATTTACTATTGCAATCTACTATTTTAATTAAATCAACTATCAGAGAAGCATAATTTACTGTTATTAAAGCAAATTTCACAGCTCCACTAGATATTCCAGCAGGTTATGATACTTCATCTCCAGGCTAAGGCATTAATACCACGATTTATATGGAATAGTATTTAAATGCAAATAATTGTTTATTCATTAACAAGAGAAATCTACTTTACCTGCAGGAATAAGTCCAATTACTGGTTGCAGTAATATACTTAAGATATTTTAATTAAGACTATTATTTCATAACACCTTATAATATTGGAATGAAATTGTAGAATCTTAATATTAGTGGAATAACACCTCCGAATGTAGCAACACCAAGCACATAATCTATGTTATTAAGTTTTATTTTGCTGATGATATCTTTGTTGATTGAATTCCCAAATCGTGGTTTATTGAATTATAATCATGTAACGTCTTGTAATCCTCCAGCTATATGTAATTTACTCAATTCAATTTTAATAACTAAGATATACCAGCATAGTAAGAGTTATAAATAAAATTAAGTAGTGTAAAAACTTCTGATTATTCTGGATAAGTATCATTATCTGATTATCTTTTAACAATGGATCAATTAAATTAAAATTTATATAATCATACAATCATGTTAATAAAATAAACATTATTTTAAAAGAACTTTACAAAAAACCATGTTATTGGAGGATACAATAGAAGATTATTAATAATAATTTATTTAATTAAATACCTGATATAACTTAAAACTATGGTAAATTTAAATGCTTGTTTATTTCATACTTAATAAACATCAAACTAATAACCTGAAGATCATTAATGTTACTTTGATTGTAATGAATCTCCTTTAAATAAAAAATGTAAATCATTTATTGATGAATTAACCAAAGTTCTACAAGTATTGCAATCAGTATTGAAGTACGTATGCCATAAAAATGTTTTGATGTTGAAATTACTCAAACATAAACATATATTAATCAGAAATCATAACAAACTAGTAGATATTATTACAATAAAATTGGATGCGTGTCAATAAGTGAATTTTTAGACAATGCTGATGGATTTAGTGCTTTTTTAGGAAGCCTAATATATGTAAAAATGTAATTTTGAAAATTATTGTTTTTGGCATTCAGTTAATAAAACATGTGAAAATTTTGCAATTAACAAGTGAATTTTACTTTTATATCTATTAATTTTTCAGGATTTAAATAGTAATAACAAGTTGCTATAGAGAATTTTGTTTGGAGAGAAACTTAATTAGTAGTTTATCAAGTTGTTATAATTTATATTCAAGAGCTATCTGCTTAGAACTGGTAACAAAATAATATTATTTTGATATTATCCATAATTTATCTAATTATTCTTCAATAGTTGGAACTTGTAATGTAAGTTCTGAATCACATGTAATCAAACATCAGCAGAAGCAGATTAAAAACCAGGAAAATAATGTAGATCTGAACCAAGTTTATCATAAGGAGAAAAAAAATAGATAAATGCGATAAGTATGAGTTAAACAATATGTAATGTGTGAGGCTATGGGAAGTAACTTTAAAAAATTTAATTATTGTTAATAGACAGACTTTGTACAATTAAAGAGTTTCTATTTTTTTATTTAAGAATGTAGAAAAAAAAAAAATTATTTTATTTTAGACAATCTAAATATAATTTATGTTATGAAGTGAATCAATTGAAACTATCTAGTAAAGATTCAACTTGTAGTTAAGTTGATCAATCTTGTATTTTCACTAATAAATGAGAAGATGCTACAGGGTTATCATATTTAATTAATACTCATAATACACTATGTAAAGGCGATTTAAATTAATGTATATTAAATACAAATTTATCAAATGAAACTAATTCAGATTGTTCGATATAGAATTAATACACATGTACTTAACTAACTAAAGCAAATTGTTATGTCAATATATCTACTTCCCTTTGTTCTTCCTTTAATCTTCTCTTTGCAAGATGTACTCATATTAATTAATAAAAATTATATATTTAATCTAATTTTGAGAGATATAAATGGGATAGTGCTAATAATTAATGCTTAAAGGTTATTTATGTGATATTGCAGATTAATAAGATTATTTAAATATGACATCAAAATAATGTAGTCTGTAAATATGCTTGTTATAATTTTAATATTAATCCAGATCATGATAGTGTAATAGCTTTGTACCTATAAATGATAGTCATGATCCTGATAATCCAGATACAGATAGAAAATTAGATAAATTTAATATTTATAGTATGTTCATTTTAACTATCACAAACTTATTTTAGAGATGAATAGTATAGATGGAGAGAAGCTGTTTCTGAAGATTAATTGAAATGTGATTCACCTGGAGTCAACTATTATATATGTATCAATAGAATAAGTGAAAATGCAAATATGATGTAAGTTTAGGTTCTTCTCTTGAAGATTTAAGTCCTCCTATTAAATCAGAAGATTCCATATTTTATAGTTGGTGTAATAGAATATCATTTAATAAGTAAGGATGTATGCCATAGTTTTGAGTTTTAAAGGCTATCTATAATTGATAGCTGTGAATCACAGATAAAATTTCTGTATTGATTAAGATATATAATTTGTGTATGAGGTAAATAAATATTATATTTTTTAACTTTTAATTAATTAATGGCTCAATTGTGAGTCTAAAGATTTTAATGTTCCTTAATAAGTATAATTGTTTAAAAAAAGATGAATATCTAATAAATTGTATCTTTTAGCTTTATGGATATCAAATCATTTAAGCCAATAGACTTTGTATGTTACTAGCAAATCTTAGTGATTTCAAAATTGACAAATTAACTTATCTTGGGGAAGATAAAAGAAACATAGGAATTTCATCTACTTTTCCCTTTAAATTTCCTAATGCA